AGCTCTGGATGTGAGCTGGGTGCCTCTAAAGTCAGGAGCTGTGGGACCAGGAATGTCCTAGCTGGCTCTGTGCGTGTGACAGACATGCAGAGAAGGAATTAAGAAAGCCAAACCTGAACCAAAGTTAAAATTATTGAGGTGTGGAAGGGCACCAAGAAGGGCTTTAACAGGCCCATGCAAAGCAGGACAAACACCAAGGAAAAGATGGAGCCACTGCTGAATGGTGTAGGTAGCTCTGTCTCAAAGAACAGTGATAAACCAGAGGGGATTCAAAAACTTCACATGCTCTTTGTTGGCAAGGTCTGTTCTCAGGTCTCCCAGGGTCTTTGTGCCTACAACACCCAGGTAGGAGTTTTGGGGAGCAAATTACTACCCATAGTAGAGAAAGACTGAGTTATGGACCACTGAAGCACACTGGTTGAATACAAGTCTCTGTGTCCAGATCAGATACATCTGAGGGTAATAAGGACAAGCTGACTTACATCACTGCAAAGCTACTCTTGTCTTTGAGAGATGGCTCAACCTGTATAATTCTCTGGAGCTATAATTTTGTGATAATGATTTGCAGAATGCTTTTTAATGAATAACTAATGGAACTAAAGAACTTTATCAGACAGGTCCCCAAAGATACTGGGTTTTTATAGAATTGAAGACAGATGGAAATCTAGCTAATCTTTCCTTGAAGACAATAGCTGAAGTAAACTACATATAAGAGCAAATCTCCAGGTAGCCTAAGGTAGACTGTGAATCCAACATGCTGTGGAATATTATTTGTGCTGCCTAAATTAGAATTTTAAATGTCCTTGGTAAAACATGTTACCCCTCAGGTTTTAAAATAAATGCACTCAGTATGACTGACTGCTAAAACTTTATAGACAGCTAAAGATGTTATAAAAATAAAGTTGCCTTTCCAGTTATGCATTAACATTATGGAATGAAAAAAGGGGACAGTACTATGTATGACAGGCCCTTCCAGAAAGAAAACATTTAGTCATTGTCATTCTTGGAGTACTCACAGTATCACTGAATGATGTAGGGATGTCTGCAGGTTATTTGGTCCCACCACCAAATCATTGCTCAAATCCTGGCTAACTTCAAGATTAGATTAAGTTGCTCAAGATTTTCTTCAGCAGAGTTTTGGAAACCTCTATGGATGAAGAAACCAGAACCTCTCTGGGAAGCCACACTCATGGTGCCTTTTTTTTTTTTTTAATGTTTAGGCAGAATTTCACTTGCTTCACTTTTTGACCATTGCCCCTAGTCTTTTCACTGTGCATTCCTGAAAGAGTATGGCTTCATCTTCTTGACAGTGCCCTCTAGACAGTAGAAGAAACTATCCCTTCTGGATAACTTTCTGGATATTCTTTTTGGGAGATCTGTTGCTATAGCATACAGAAGTGTCTCATGGAGACCTGTGGTGTTCAGGCTTTTACAACAAGGTTTCTGACACTCATCCACTAGTTATTTCAGAAAGACTTTATGAAATGCTTCCTCTTAGACTAGTATTTTTGAAAGCAATAGATGAGATTAAGAGAAGCTGGGGTAAAGAGTTACAACATGGCTGTGTCTGAATCAATTACTTTTTCTGTGGGTTTTTTCCCGAAATTACTTCCATTAGGGATTTGGTAAAACTAAAAAAGTTGTGGACTCTTCAGTTCCCCTGAGTCCTTGAGTCCTAGAGCACAATCTCTATCTCACCTTATTTTATCCTTCCAAATGTCCTTACTTTCAAATGGGAGATCACAACTGGAGAACAAAAGGAAGCAAAGTGTCTTTTCTCTCTTCAAGCACTCTGTTTTAGCACAGAGGGGAAATCTTTTATCAGTAAGTGCTACATTTTCCTGATCAGTAAATTAACTTACAAAATATTTCTGATTGCCTGGATAGGTAAGATTTATTTGTCTTTGTATGGATCATTATTTCTATTTGCCTATTTTCCCATGAAGTTCTTCTTTAAGTAATGATTTAGGGATGTTTTGAAAGGCTTTTTCCTTTGTATGTATGTATAAATAAATCAATTTATATATATATATATATATATGTTAATTTTTCTAAAAACTTTTCTGATCAGGAAGCTCCTGTTAAACATCCCATAGAAAACTAGCTCAAATCTTTTATATGTCATTGTTTCACACCAGGCTATGGAGACAGCATAAGGGATGAGAGCTTTTCAAGACCCACACCAGACCTTAATATCCTTGAATTAATGACTTGCTTTTTCTATCAGTGTTGCACTCTGCTGAAATGTCTCTGGAATCACTAGATTTTAAGCTGCTTCTTTCTAGGTTATTTCAGTAGGATAAAGTAACTGGTAAGATACACTGACAAGAGCACAGATGTACCCTGAGCATTCTCAGAAGTCGTGACATCTGTCCTTCAGCTGAGATGTTTCAAACTGTTCTGCAGTTTTGACTGCCTTACAAATGAATAACCATACGATTGGATGTGCACTTAAAGCTCATGTCCAGGGAAGGGGTGTTTGGGAACAGCTATTCCTTAATCATTCTCCATACAGAAATGCACAGTCTAATTCTTGTCTGTCTGATCAGCACTTGCTTCCCTGCTTGTTGCTGTGCGAGCTCACTTGTAGCCAGCTGGAGTCACGACAGCACTGACGGTGCTGTTCAGTGTGAGACAGGGTAACAGACACCAATTACTGATTTTTTTCTTTGTTTATTGTAAACAAAGATCCCAAAGGGTCCAAAACATTCTCTCTCTTTAGATCAAGCATCTTCCTCCCATTTCCGTGCTTGTTTCCCTTGAGTGTCAGTCCATCTGCTCCTTCCCCTTTGCTTGGAAAGTCTGGCACTTCTACAGGTGCATCCTAAGCTTTGCTGTTCCTGAAGAATTTCCTGCTGGCACCAGTGCTGCTTTTTGTGTTTTTCAGTTCCCAATTTCTTTTTTTTTTTTATCCAAAGTGGTGGGTTCATAACAAAACGAAGACATAACTGGGGTTTGTGCATTGATTTTTTCATGGAACAAGGCAACGTGCCAATAGATCCCCTACATACAAAAACACTGCTGGTGGGGAAGGAGATGAAGTGGGGACGCAATCTGTGGAGTAGCTCCAGAACAGCTTGGGGAAACAGATTGCTTCATTCTTCTGTATGACCTTCACCACTTCTTGCTATGCCTTTCTGTTTAGACATGTCAGAAAATTATGTCCTAGGCAAACTAAATAAAAACACATTCAAAAACACATTTACAAACACATTGTTTAAAGCACTGCTCTGCAGAGTGGGAGACCCGTGTTTAATGAATCATGCATTCAGCATGAATCAGGCTCTGAAGAAAGTATTTTTTACTTGAGATATATGTAATTTATAAAAAATGGAACAGCTAGGAGAAATGAGAGCTATACCAAAGCTGCATCCTGTCAGTGGGGGATCTTACCGTGATTTCTGATGAGGCTGCTGCACTTTTCTTGTGCAAAACATTTTTCAAAGTTTAGTTTTAGTGCAGAGAAAAAGCAACTGCAGTAACCTCACCAACTTTCATGAAACTGAGTGCTTGTTTTCTGGCCAGTACTAATTACTATGCTGCTCACACATTCTGAAGAAAAATACCCTTCAGGCTCCTATCCCACTGAGACAGCCAAGGAAACAAAGTTGATACAGAAGTATGGTCTCCGACTCCCATAGTGTGTAACTAGCACAATTACTCCTGGAAGAACTATACAGGGTAGATATGCCACTTGGATCCCTGTGATGGTTCAAAGGTCAAAAAATAAGAAACTTGACAAAGAAGATTTTTTTTAGATCTATTCTCTTGACTTTGCCTGTCGCAAATGGGGGAGAAAAGAAGGTCTTCCTGCAGTTTAGTGGTCGAGCATTTGCCAAAGTCTTCATTTATAATTCTGATTTCTGCCTACAGACTACAATACTTATATTCCTTGTTAATTATTTATCCAAGCAGCCATGCTTGATGCCAGACTATATTAGGTGCAATCACTAAGAGATGTCCAAGCAAATACAGTTACTTAATTAAAAAATGCTATTTCTTTGTTCAGTATTGTAACTAAGGGTTTAACTCAAGGTACTCCAAACATCCTAGAGGAGTTTTGGAGGATCATCTCTGTCTGCACTTAGGGAACTTACCACACTTACTGTTTACAGAGCCCAGAGGTATTCCTAGTCAAACAGTCACAAATAAAGGACTACTTACTTGACTTCACTGCCTGCTACTGAAAGGAAATGTTTACTTTAATTTCCTCCTTCATTTTTCTCCTATTGAACTTCCAACATAATAATTTTCACATATTCTGCTAATATAACAAAGTAACTCATCCAAACTGAGACCAGGTTCACTTTTGCTGGAGCTGCAGAGAAATGGAGAAGGTGGGTGAGGAAGGGCTGCCCAGGCAGCAAGGACACCCTGGCACAGTGCGAGGGTACATTTGTGCCACTCTACCAGGCTCCAATTTCCTGCACCTCTCTCCCTGCCAGCCTGCACTGGAACTGCACTGCCGCAGTAAGGGAATGAGGGTCTCCTCCGAGCTTGCCCTCATAATTTGTAGGAAACTGTAGGAAATCAGATGCCTGCACATTCTAAACAAAATTTGGAAGACTCTATTCTTCGCCTCTTACATAAAATGGTAAGCAAGTAAATTTAGACTGGGCAGAAGCTGGAATTAGGAAAAACCTGAAAATCAAAAAAAACTTGTGAAGTGTTTGAGCCACCCTAACATTTGGCTAAATTAAGATACTGTGCCTCCCCATTCTGAGCTATTTTAAACAAAACTTCTTGGCTCTGCTAAAAGCACCCTTCTTACACTTCACACTGTTGTTGAAGCAAAATACATCAAAATTATTTCTAGCTAATTCAATTGAGAAAGAGCTAGCTTATAGGGAACAATAAGTACTATGAAAATTCTTGAAGTTTCAGCTCATGTTTCACTACATTTAAGATTGCTCATTGAAAACATATTCATGTCAGCTGGATATCACATCAAGGCCAATATGACAAAAATAAACACCAGCAGTATAAAAAGGGCAGAGGAGTGATCAAGTTGTCCTTCCTTTATTTTCATAACTTCTTACTCCAGAATGCTCAAGAGTTTGCATTTAAAAATAGACAGAGCAGGTATGAGCAGATGTATACATATGCATGCACATACATACTGTAGAAAGGAATTACTTTGAGCTCAGCTTTTGTCAGATACAGTGACTGAAACACATGTAGCAGAAAAAAAAAGTAAATTAGTAGGAGGACTGACTATATATTATATTATATAGGAATGAAGAACACAACATAACTGAGTTCTTAAATGATCCACAAAAAGGCACAGCAGGAAATACTACTGTAATCTCAGTAGCTTCCACAGGTCTGTCTGCGGAAATGCAGAGCACCTTGTACTGCTCCTGTACATGATGTTTTCATTGGCCATAAATAGTTGCATACTAGCAGATCTACACAGGTGGCATCCAATCAGATTCAAAATGAAGTGATACAGATATTGTTTTCATCTGAAACATTTTCTCCCTCAAATTCAGGTCTGGGAACTGCTGTTTTTGCAGTACGTCTAGTACAAGTATGAATGATTGAAACAATATGAAGCACCCTGGTGAATGCTACCAAGCTTGCTTGAGTTTACAGAGAAGGGCAGGTGCCTTTTGGACGGTATGATTTCTCCAAATTTGACACAGTTGTTGCATGAGACATTGCTAATCAGAGCATTTACTGGGTGTGCAAGACACAGCACAGGCACACCTACCTGATTGTCACCACTTAAGTGTAACATATATGTGTAAACAGTACTATTCACATCCTTTGTAGATGTAGAAATAAAAAAGACTTGTTCCTGTCTCTCCCTCTCTCTGGGAGCAACAAATGACCTTATTGTTTCTTGCTTTGCTGACACTTCTGCTTCTCTGCTTCTGAGATGCCAGCCACACTGTTCTTTCACACAGATTAAAAACATTATATTAAATGCAGAAAAACCGATTCACATTCAGCTTGAAATGTGCTGCCTCTAAGATCTCAGGAAACCTATGCATCTAGAACTTCATTTTTTCCCCTTCTCCCATCTATATTAGTTGGTTAGCTAAAAACCTTTACAGATCTTCCCAATTTTTTCCTGCAACTTTGAGACGTATTACTGAACAGGAGAAAAAAAACTGCTGTCTTTGCTACCAAGTTGAAGTAATAGGAAAAGAGGCAAGAACATTAGAAAGGAGAAAAAACTGCAAGAAATACTGAGTGTGTTGTTCTTGATACAAGGTTATGCAGTAAATAACCTCGGTTGTTTGATCATAGCTATCCTACTTTGTATTTTAATTTTTTTTTTAACAGAATTAAATAGCACTTCTTACAGTGTATTTGGTACCACATGTAATGGCCAGAACTGACTGTGCTGCTGGAGTGGATTGCAGTGGAGGGTAAAAAGCTTTCATAAGCTGGAAAGCAAAAGTTGGCCAGCTGGGATGCTTGGCATGTGGATGGAAGTTGCCTAAGAGGCACATGGCTGGTTAATGGCTTTAAGCGGTTCTCTGAATCCCACACACACTATCATGTCCAGGTCAATAGGTAGGCCAACACTAGCCCTGATGATGGCTTAGACACCTAACTGTGAGCCTCATATGCATCATCTCTATAGTCCGTGGCTCAAAATGTGTCATGATGTGACCTGCTGTGGGCAAATAGAAGATTGATTGAAATTGCTTGTGTTTAGTTATCTGAGATGTGACTGCATTACAAACAGATACCTCTCTTATTATTTTGGCAGCTGCTGTTAAGGACAGCAACAAACAAGCAATAAAAGTGAAGAGGATGTTGAAAGAACTAATCAAAAGACTAATGTTACAGCATAGACAGGGAACAATTTTGAGGCACACTGCAGCTCAGATTTTCAAAGGTCTGTAACTTCTGATTTCAGTACTTTTTGTGTTTGAAACAGACACAAAAATCCTTCAAGCTGGAGACTAAACCCAGCTGTGACACAGGCAAACCCAACTACGTGTGTAACAAAAAGAGATTTGCATTAAAACCAAATTAAAGATTATTGCAAGAATGGACGCAAGACAAATAAGCAACAACAACATATTTTAGATACAACATGATATACTTGTATCAGGGATGATAGGATGTAACAGGGAGTGAAAGGATGTAAATGATACTACTACGGAGTCCTAAATCAGATTCACTCAGATAACAGGAATATCCTATCCCAGTTTCCTGGCAACCACCTAATATAAACACAAATAAATAATACAGAAGCCAGCACAGAATGTGCAACAAAATTCTACATAAAATTATTTTCTAGCAGAACAAATATTTTTTTTCTGAAGACTTATGTGTCATCTTGGTAGCTGGATGTTTAGCTGGTGGTTTAGAAGCGTATCTATCTGGAACACTAAGATAATTCACGAAAGTAACTCAAGAAACCTTCAGGATGGCATCTGCTCTCTCCTCAGTATATTCTGAAGCATGCTAACTGAGTTCACTGCAAGCAGGCCAATGTCTGACTTGGCACGTTCTTGTCTGAATATGATATACCATAAATCACATCATGGTGGAAAAAATGTGGAACTTTCTAGAGCTGGTATTTCTGACTATCTGCTACCCAGTGGCCAGGAACAGCTGTGTGGATGACAAAGCAATCAATATCATGGGGTAAAACACTGTATGCAAGTATGCAAGCCAGAATCTTGTTGTACGATAGTTTCAGGTAAGTTTGGCCCAAGTGCTGGACCACTTATGAAAATTAGTTTCATTTTTCACTGTGTTACCTATTGTATCTTCTGTCAAGTGAGAAATCTAAGATCTCTCCTATCTGAATTCATATTACCGTTTCCCAAAACATGATAGTCAGTCACTTAAGTTTTCAAGGCCAGATGCTAGGATGTTTTTATAAACAAGTTGTCGGTGTGGGTGATGTACAACAGGCATAGTTTCCCTTTTCTTTATGAAATATGTGAACAGAACGTATTATTCTTGTTTAATTCTGGAGAATAAAGATAAGAGGAAATAGCAATATATTTCTTCTAATCAAGAGAAGGAAATAAAGGGTGAGGCTTTCTAGCATCCGCAGGTTAATTTTTGATACTAAAAGAAGTTGGTATCTAGTATGCAAGGTTTTAATATGCAGGTTTGCCAGTCCCAGATGCAGGATGAAACTGCAGTTAGAAATTAGCTGAAGGCAAATTTATAGCCAGCAAGGCAAACAGAGGATATGGATTCATTTGATTAACTTAGTACACTAAAGCAAATCTGAACAAAAAGCCTACAAAAGAAACAAACATAAGCTTGTTCCAGCTGCCTCCTCTGTCTGAAGATATAGGTCCTCTTTGTGCTGCTGGTGCAGATCTGAAGAAGAGAAAACAAACAGGATGTTCACAGCACAGAGCTGAGTTAGGATTCTTTTAAATATCAGGGGTTTGTTGCCAAGGATGAAGTTCACGGTCCAAGTGCTAAGCTAGAAGTTTCTTTACGTGAGCTTGCCAACAGATTCCCTATGGCTGTCATGATTTTATAAACGAAGTATCTTTGGAATATCTTGGGAACAGTCCTTTCTACCTTTACACCTGAGCCTTCTTATCTCTCCCCCTTTTTTTACTGTCTCTGGCCTTATGCTTGTGATTTTATAGAGCCCTTCTAGGCAGCAGTGGTCCTGTAGGACTGTTTTTTCACAGCACTTGATACAGCAGTATCCAGATCCATTTCTAAGTCTCTCTGACATTGCAATAATGCAAGTAATAAATACCACTACTAATAGGTCGCATCTGGCTTCCTTCCTGCTTATGTTTATAAGCCGTCTATGCCATCTAGTGGTTAGTGTTTACTTACAAGTTTTCTTCAAAAGTCAGAGTGTAAACTAAACAAGCCAAAGTCCAAACTTAACTCAGCAGAAACATAATTCAGTTCTGGAAAGGAGTTACGGGCACTACCAATACCCAAGAAGCCCCAAATACCTTAAAGCACCTTCTAGGTCAACCCTCTGCTACCCTGACCCATCCCTCTCCTTTGCTATGCCCCCGTTAACAGGAGTTATGGTGACATAAAAAATTACTTGCCCAGCTCTGGTAGTTTTGGGCTTGGGACATTATTCTCTGCAGGCTAACAAGGCAGCTATTAGCCTTGTAACAGCAAACACCTCTCATGAAAGGGGATGCAGCAGAGCCTGCATGCCTGTTTCTCAGTTTATTATGGAAGCATGAACACAGTGTACACTGAGTGCACATACTCTGCAAAAGGAAACATTTTCCTAACAGATACATGCTGATACCCCTACTGTCCAGACTGCTCCCATGTCAGTTAATGAACCATCAGAGAGTGGGGATCCATCCACAGAAAAAACATACATAAAAAGATAGTCATCAAATAATTTCTATGCATTTGCTTAAGACTCTTTGTGAAAGGGCAGTTAATTTCAATGAAGATGTTATTTATTGCAGAGAAGTAAGTGATTTGGGGAAGAGTGTAAGTATTCATTGGCTTGAAGCACTTTAGTTACTTAAATTTCAGGGAGAGGCAATGATACTTTAGCATTCTGATTGGGAAGCTCTGTCTTGATTTGGGATAGCACAGATATGAAGTAAATCAAACTTATTACAGTGCCATGCATACAGGAGGGCATAGAATGTTCAGGAAGGAAGCAAGCAAGGAAACGTTTCTGAAGGATCACATCGTTGGTTAATTGGTGCTTAGAAAATGCCAGTTATTATGTTACTTTAAATATCGGCATGGATGGAAGGGAAGGGGTGGCTGCTCCCCTGCTGACATACTACAAGCACGATGTGGTAATACTGCAGAACTGGTATGCTCATCCCTTAGCTGAAAGAAAAAGACATCAATGTTTTCTATAAGCCTTCTCATCCAGGTTTTCTCAGTTGAGGAGCATACACTACAAAACTTTGAGGGAAGCCTGGGAGAGGAGAAAACTCTTCTGTTTAAAGATCACAATATTATATTTCTTTTAAGTCCTGTAAAGTGCTTTTTCCTCCAGTTTGCTAATATTGTCACTACATTCACAGCTATGATTTTTCATGGGATAAATATACTTTCCTTTGACATGTGAACAAAAGCCTTACCATTCAGTGGCAGAACAAGGAAACCCTATTTTAATCCACTGTGCAAGTGGTATTTCATAACAAATAAAAACCTTAACAGGATTGGAAGCCTGTCCTATGATCTACTGCCTAGAAGGAATCTGTTTTCATAATATTTATAGGTTGATGCTAGGATATGATTTGGATGTGAGAATAAACGCTGTTGCATGACAAGATGAGTAAAAGTTTTCAGTGACCAGCAACAACAGGGAGTACTCACTTTCTCTGTAAGGGTGTATTAAAATATGCTAGAGAGAGTGATATACACCTAATTTTCTGTACTGCATGAAGCACTACTGCCCCTCCCCAGAGGGAGGCAAGCAGGAGTTGCACCTCTCTGCTGCCATAACCGGGGACAGCAAGTAAGATCTTTCATAGCAGGAGTTGACGTATCTTATGTGTACCTAAACAGGCAACAGCATATAGATTGAGAAAACTAGCCACAACTGAAAACAGTAATCTTTACTGTAAATCACTGAAATACATAATAAATTAATTCTCTTTATATAATAAATTAAAATAAGGATGAAGATGGGAAAATATTAAAAGCTAGTTTTGGAGTGATGATTGTTAGTTAAAAAAGTTGTGTCTTGGATGTCATCTGCACCTTTGCAGATACTCTACTAAGTAAGGCCCAAGGTAAGGCATTCAGCCCAAGGTAAATACACTGAAATATGGAAATTGAGTTTCACACAAAATGGAAGATGAAAAAGAAACTTCCTCAAAATTTAGAAATTTAGTTCCAGTAGCTGGAGAAATGTGCTGCCATTTGACCTACAATTTCGTTATTCAAGGAACAATGTTAATAAAGTGATTTCAAATTTGTAATAGATTTTGCACCAGAACAGTGATATGTACAAACTTCATTCTTACTGTGAATCATATATAGTGTTACTGTGTGATTGATGAGAACCCATTAATACCTAATTTTGAACAGCAGGTGCTCACAGACAGTTGTGCACAATTTGTAAACAGAGACAGCTTACTCAAAGCACAGCAAGTAATAAATCAAAGAATACTGTATATTTCATATGGATGATATATAATAGGTGGTAGGGGTTGGATCTGTTGAACTCTTGACTTCTGCATTGTTTATTCGGTTGTAAGGACACTGAGGATGGATGGAACTTCTTTTACTTACGATAGAAGGGCACACTTAGAATTATCAGGATAATCCAAGCAGAGTAAGAACACTACAGACCTGTGAAGATATCAATTTATTTAGCATCATTCAGGCAGAAAACTGAGGAAAACCAATGAAAAAATGAAACAAACTCACAGTATTGTCATGTCTAAAGCTTCCCTTCAATTAAATTTTCTTAAAATCTACTGGGCATAACTAGAGCTGTGAATCCTACTGCAAATATCTAATAATTCTGCAGACATTCAATAGTGATTTTAACTGTTGCTTAGATTTTCAATCCAAAGAAAGATTTGACAGTGAAGTGGAATATGAGGCCATCTTCTGTGTCTTGAGTACAATGTTCCGTCTAATTATACAATACAATGTATTGTTTTGCTCAATTCACAGCCAAAAAAACCCAAGTCTAAAAAATGTGGCATCATCCCTCCAACGTATCAGTCTCTCCTGAAGATACAACATTCATGTATTAAAGTATTGAAAAGTAAGAATCAAATAGACAAGGCACTTCTGCAAATACACCATAATAACAAAGGATTTTCACTTACTTGTAATTGTCAGTGCAAGTGACTTTATAACCAAGGGTTTTCAGCCTGGTTTCTAATGTCTTTACACTGTGGATTCCACAGGAATCTCTGTGAGAAAGGATTTCAATATTATTGTAAGTCTTTTGTTATTTAATTTCCCTCCACTGAACTTGATGGAATTAGTAAAGTAAATCCCCATTACTTTGCCTCTTCTGTATTCCATAACACCTCCAGAAGAATGGTGTACATTGCTATTTATAATGCTTTATTTGCTTATATTACAGTCATCTCACATTTATACTTAGTTTGCAGTCTAGGAGATTAGTTTCAGCCAGTGTAGCATTTTCAGGTTCTATTAACCAATAATCCCACCTTTAACATTTGACTAGACTGAAAAAGAGTTAAATACTTTCGTAAAATATTAAATGTTTCATTTGTCATATTCTTTGGCAACTATTTAGGTAGTGCTAAAGTTGATTCTGCCTGTCTTTATAATTGGTTATAATAAAACAGAATTATAACCTGTTGGTTGTAATAAAACAGAAGACTATTTTTGTTAGAAGCTTGTTCTCTCTCTTGAATATTGAACAATAGAAAAACAGAGAGAGAAAAAAAACCAGAACCAATCCTAAATACAGCTTCTGTTTCTAGCACTGATTTTTTAATTTGTGGTCCAATTAGCATAAGAAAGTTTAGCATAGTACAGAACCTGCTGAGACCTCTAAATTTGCACCAGCATAAAATATTAAGGCCAGTGCTACTTATCCACTGGTATGCAGGCTGCAGAAAATATATGGAGACCAACAAAATAATTGTAGAAAGCAATTTATAAAACCCCACAAAATTCCCATGCATCCATTAACTGAAAAATAAATTAATATTCAGTGCTTGTCTTTTCTTTGTAGTATGGGCAACTTTTGGAAAAATGAGGGTTTTTTCCTCCCAAAGGGTTTCATTCTTTGATTTAGAGAGAAAGCCTGAACTGTGGTAAAATATGTTGTCTGAGTTGGCCATGCCAAAATTAAATGAAAAAGAAGCAAAAGGAGATAGCAAAGAGGGAGATGAGACGTGAAAGGGAAATGACACAAAATGAATGGACGCAACTAAAAACCATTGAACAGCAAGAACGGGAGCCTCATGCTCCCGAGAATGCAGAGGACACCTGGGATTCAGACACATGGGGTGGGTATGGTAACATCTGAGTCCATTTCTCTGGCCTTCTTCAGACAGGGCACTTTTAAGACCAATGAAGTGTCCCCATGTTAAATTGCAGGGACCCTGCAAAACTGAGTTCCTCTGTTCTGTACCCCCAATTCATCTATGCACATTTGCAGTGACTCCCACAAAAGCTATAATGAATTTAATTCTTCCTTTAATCAATGCCAAACAAGGCCTAATTTCCAGCCTAATGATTTAATTTTTTTTTAACTTCAGAGTCTATTTTCCATTAGGTTTCAATTGAAAATTGTCACTCAGTCTTTGGCTATTTACCAACAGACAATTCTGTTCTGACTGATTTGTTTTATGTGTTTATTATTTATTCATTTGTTTTAATTAAATTACCCGCAAAATCAGACATTGTTAAAGCCTACATTTTATTACTGGATTAATTATTGAGAGAAAAGGAGCCTCTTGTTGGTATTTATCTGCTTCTACAAATTTTTCAAATACTTAAGATAGGTGAAAATGAAAAGAATGCATATGGCAAGGTGAAGGAAATATCTCTTGTCAGCACTTAATCTGAAATTCAGGTTGACTCTTAGTAATACTATACAAGCTATATCTTCACTCAAGGTCTGAGATCCAGAGATCCACATACATAGATCTAACCAAGAGTTGCCTACGGATCTAATATTAGAATTTATTTATATTTTGTTTAATTCTGGTATTTCTATACTCTTTAGGAATGGCAGGTTGTGCCTTTTGTGTTCATGAAAACATCTAAAATACTGTAGTCTAAGTGCTATGCAAATATCATCAAACAGAAAGATAAGGTGAAATTTTAAAGACAGGTCCCAAAGGGCGAAATTAATTTTTTTTTGAAAATGTAACTTACAGATCTGGTCCTTCAATATCATCCACAACCCAAATAACAATTTGTGAGATTTTGTCTTTCTGGAGATTAGGTATTTCATAATCTGCAAAAAAACTGATTAAAAAAAAAATTAGAACTATAAAGAACATGAACATTAATTAGTCTTTTCTACTTTACACTAATGAAGGCTCTGATACTGCTGTAGGATATGGGTTTGCTTGGCTTTATATCTTCTGATTACAATGAGACTCAACACAGACTAGAAAAATCTGATTCATATTCTAAATGTCCTCAAAGGTCAAAGGCATTTAAAGACTTATTTTCCTATTCATCTTAGAGGGGGTCAGCTGAAAAAAATTACAGCTTTGAAGTGAATCAGAAAGAAATGATCATTTAAAAATGCAAAACAAAACAAGCATTTGATACGTAGTAAAAAAAAAGTAAAAGGTCATTATTGTAGCTATTGCTTTTAGACAAAATACAATTTTGCTTTAAATGAAAAAAATAATACCAGCCACAAGATAAGTATATTTTAAGGTAGACAATGAGAGCAACAGTAACATGAAGTATTTGTCTAGAATATATAAGACCAAAAAAGGAAAAACTTCTAGACGTCCCTGAGCTATGGAATCCTCCACTTTATTTCTTTGTGTAAATTGACTCAAATAACAATTAAAACAAGATAACAAAATGGAAACTAAATCGTAGAGTCATAGAATGGTTTGGATTTGAAGGGACTTAAAGATCATCTAGTTCCAACCCTCCAGCTGTGGGCAGGGACACCTTCCACTACAGCAGGTTATCAAAGCCCCATCCAACCTGGTCTTGAACACTTCCAGGGATGGGGAATTCACAGCTTCTCTGGGCAACCTGTTCCATCTCACACACCTCACACCTCATCACCCTCATAGTAACGATTTTCTTCATAAAATCTAATCTAAAGATGCCAAGACCAAAGGATTATTTCCATGTCTGTAAATTGAATTTTTTGTGACATGCAGGCATTTCAAACACACAGATTTCTAACCCTTTCAGCAAGATGTACTGCAATTTATAAACCTTAAATTTTTTTCTTTTTTTTCCTCAGAAAGCTTATAAGGGCTGTGTCTGCACTGAATGCTCGTTCCAAGTTTGAGCCTAGCTGTGTCCTCTAATTTGCCTATCAGAGGTCTTCTTAAATGTCTGTATCAGGACTGCAGTGTCTCTCAGCCACTTTAAATGCTCTGAGACTCCCCCTGAGAAGAAAGGACTGTTAGTTGTCACTCCCTGGATGAGATCAGCAGTGACAATGTGACCACTTCCTTGTCCTCCTGGTGCCTTCAGGCAAACAAGTAGGGCTCTGCTGTGGAAGCAGAAGACGTGGTGGTTGCCAGCGTCTGCTGGCAGCCAGCTGAGACCAGCTCATGAAGTTAGCAAGTTATTTAAAATTCTGGAGAAGTGGAACATGAGGAGGAAGACACCAACAGTTGCCTTCTCTGGTCAAGGCTGGTATGGCAGTGGCTAACCAGAGACCAGTAGCAGCAAAAGCAGGTTTGCCTATCTGTCCAAGGTGCCCAAACCTGTCAAACACATAGTGAAAATATAAGAAAAAATAAAAATTCCAACTACTTCTAATTCATTTGCTCATTCCTGCATATGCTATTGCCAGAAAAAAAGAAGCTTACCCCAAATTTGGAGAAATCATTAACTAGAGGAGTCAGAAATTGTGGAGGAACAATGTTCAACTGACTTCAGTACAACCAATTTTTGGACTAGCTAATTATTAAAGAAGTCTGCCAACTAAATTCATACTATGTGAATGAGCGAAGTTATTTTGCCGTGAAGTAAGAAATAAATCTTAACTGAAGCAGTGTCAGGTGACTTAATGACAATTTAAGTGTTCAAACTTTAACACTGGATAAATTTTGAAACTGGCTTTAAAATAGTTGAAAACAGAGCAGAGAGACGTTTAGGAAGACAGGCAGATCTTTCAGATTACCTTCTGCTATTAATTATTCAAAATTAAGCCTCTTTCAAACTCGATCTCTTAAACAAATTCAGTTATAAATGGACCAGAAGATACGCAGCAAAGAAAGCAGATGGAGTAACTGGCTTTGTTTTTTTCTTGGCAGACTGTGTTCTAGTGGTGATTTCACCGGTTAAGATACCACCAGACAGGCAACCCAAAAAGCTGGTGGAACTAATTTATGTGTAAGAGGTTTCTGAAATAAGGAATCTGTAAATTAACAGAAATAAGGAGTCTATTTCTGAAATCTGGAATCTTTACTGGATTCTGGGCATTGGTCTGCTGTCAGATATTATCATCTGCAGAAGACTTGATCCCAGCTGACCACCAGACCAACCCAAGGAGACTGTGTAAGTCTTTATGATTTGCTGAAAGCTGTGTGGAGAGATGGACCTTTCGGAGGACAGAGGTAAGTAGGTAGTGGGGTTTTGGGACAGACGGTTCTTGTTTCTCTCCTATGCAGAGATAATTTTTAGTCCTCAGTGAACACACAGGAGGAGGATCTGTTCTATTGGTTTTTGAAAGAGGTATTTTTTTGACCTGCCTTGGACAGGACAGTTGCTGAGGTAAGGAAAGATGTATTTTTCATCACAGGTAAGCAGTCACTACAGCCACATACTCAGTAAAAGCTCTTAAGGGTGTACTTTTGCAACAAATTTTAAATGTAAGCTTAGATGAACTGCTGCACAGTGATACACTTGAGGATGAGGGAAAATATACATGTCAATATACAAGGAACTAAGGAGAAGAGGAAGCTGATCTTTGCTATTATCCTTCTCGATAAGGTTTTTTTTTTCTTTCTTAAACCATGATAGATATCAAATTATTTCCACTCTTGGTCCTGGAGAAATAGCAGGACAAAGAACTTTCCCTATAGAAATTACCAAGTTTGCTCCTAGGCCTGACAGAAATTACAGTCCTTGTAACAATACCCTCTCCTTGGACACGTTACTGGAAGGAAATTTTGTAATGCTCATCTTTTTGAAGACATAAACATTTTGCCACAGTGTGTTGACTGACTTGAAGGTAGCTTTCAAAGAGCATTCATCCTGCTTGCCACAGCAGTTTGTAAAATGCAGGAGTCAAAAGGATTATTTCCACTAATTTCATACTAATTCCTTCAGCTAAGGACAAGTAGGAGTTGTCCCCACAACTGAGCAGACTTTGATGCACTAGGCTCTTTCAGCTACATTTCCCATACTTTGTGTAGCAGAAGACCCAAACAACTGGTTGACCTTTTTTTTTTTTTTTTTTGTAGTTACTAGACTTTCTACACATAAATTAGTTTTCTTACCTTGGCTGTGGATAAGCTCCTCCAACTGCAGAACCATTCAACAAGACATGTATCTCCCCTGAACTGTGCTTCGCATACTGCAATACATAACAATGTTTTCCAGAACTCATCTTGCAGACTTGTTACAAAATCACAGAATCACAGAATATGCTGAGTTGGAAGGCACACACAAGGATCATCAAGTCCAGCTCTTAGCCCTGCACAGGACCATCCCCAAGAGTCACACCCTGTGCCTAAGAGTGTCAGTCAAACACTTCTTGAACTCTGTCAGGCTTGGTGCTGTGACCACCTCCCTGGGGAGTCTGTTCCAGTGCCCAAACACCCTCTGGGGGAAGAATCTTCTAATATCCAACCTCGACCTGCCCTGACACAGCTTCAGGCCATTCCCTTGGGTTCTGTCACTGGACACCACAGAGAAGAGAGCAGTGCCTGCCTCTCCTCTCCCCTCAAAAGGAAGCTGTAACTGCAATGAGGTCTCCCCTCAGTCTCCTCCAGGCTGAACAGACCAAGTGACCTCATCTCTCCTCATATGGCTTTCCCTGTAGGCTCTTCACCATCTTTGTTGCCCTCCTTAGGACTCTCTCTAATAGCTTAATATCTTTCTTATATTGGGGTGTTCAAAACTGCACACAATATGACTTGCTATTTTATTGCAAGCAATAATGACTAAAGAAAGAACTTTACCAAGAAGAATATCAGAACTGCAAAAATAATACTACATTAGCACCCTAGCAGGTCACTGCAGGAGAAATGACAGGAACTGAACAGCCAGTGGATTAATTCAGTGAATTAAGCTATTTTCTCACTTGTAAATAGTTTCTCCAGCACAGGAAGAAAGCATTTTAGCAATCTGTGTTGGGTTTGATCTGTGAATAAAGGGTTTCCAGCAAAGCTGTCAAATGTCACTTAGGACCTGCAATTAGTAGACAACTAGTGTGCTTATTGTGCTTAGTCTATGATTTATATTAATAACGTTAACACAGAATTTTAATACATTATCTAGCTAAGGTGAAAAGTACCTCTTGCTAAAACACTGTACCCAGTCTAAAATGGTGTATTTGTGTCAGAGGAAATAATCTAGCAGAGTTATAGGTTTAAAGCTGTTTTGAACTGGCAATGTTTTCCTGAGCCACCCAGGACACGCTGGCTAATGTATGAAGTCAGCACTAATGCACTATTTACAGTGATTGAGGCCATCCTCCAGAAAGAATCCACTGCATTGTTTTCACATTCCATCATAGTAGGGCAGGATTCGTAGTCCAGTCCTGTAGGAAGGCATATGATTTGTGCTATTAGAGAGATGATAACGACTGTAAAAAGGGACTTTAGAAAGCAATTAAATTTATGTGCTCATTACTCACTGAACATACAACACAGTTTGACATGACACTGAAATTTGACTGTTATATTTTTTCAATAATTTTTCATCCTTTGCAGTTTACACAAACAGTGATATTTTGTGGATTCAGTAATTTGTTTGAAATGGATCTAACTCTGTTCCTGGGATGCAGAGAGCTCCAGGTTCAGAGAACTGAGAAGAAGGTTTATCGCCATTGCAGCACTGTTTAGATTTCACTGTGTGCTCCCTGACTGCAATGTTAAATATTCAAATGATACAGGAGTGAAGCTATCCCTAATTTTTTACCAGGTAAGAGCAAAATTAGCTTTTTCAGAACACAACAGTTAGTCTCCATTATGGTTTTACAGACAAATGTTTAATATAGCACTCACTGTCTTACCAGAGCTGTTTGCCTGCCCACACCAGTTTAGGAAATCTCCAAAGAAGCCAAAGAGGGTATCACCCACAGACATGAAGCGACGTCCTCTGTCAGCAAAGCTATTGACTAGTAGCTGATTATTTTCCCAGAAGAGAGACTATATGGAAAAAAAAAGAAAGAAGATATGTACTGACACTTGGGCGTTGACACAACGAGATTATGGGGTGTCAAAACCAGTTTAAAACACGTTTTGGTATTTCTTTCAAAATCAACTAATAACCAGAAATGTTAGCTGTCTTTAGAGGAACAAAGTTTTTTATTTTATAGAGGTGTAAATTCTGATCTCTAGAGACTTGAGGGACACTCAGACCTTGATGGGAAGGGATATAGACCTATTTTAAATACAGTTAGGCCAAGCTTTGCCTGCCTCAGCAGGCAGGTTTAGGAAAAAGAAGGAAAAAGGGAAGACAGATATTTATAAGCCAGATATATGTTGCCAGAATTCTCTCACATTGCTGTGTTGGCTTATGATGTGAAAAAATCATACATCTTGCTGTTATTTCTGTGTTTGTGAAACTCTTCACGAATTAAGCTATGTTGAAGGAGTATTTGTTGGTTTAGCTTGTATTATTTAGAGATGAGGAATAATTGTGCTGGAGGAAAACCTGCTTTAAAGCCCAACCTGTCTTTTGCACTTTCACAGTTCTCTGCAACTGCCAGCACATCAAACCCTTACTGTTTTCTGGCATGTAACAACATCCTATCTCATTTCTGCTTATGTTTGTTTAGTATGTCAATGTTTAACATGTTATTGCCACAAGACTTGGTTGTGAGGAGTAGAAGCAAAAGATGACAGCAGGCACAGCCTTTGTAGGCAGAGCACCTAACTTGAGGAAAAGTAGAAGTTCAGGGACTATGTCAGAGCTCCCAGCATGGCAGGAAAAATGGGGGATCTTTGTAGTATGAAAAGAGAGAGGTTGCTGAGAAGCTACTGCATAAAATAAGTGGAGCCAAACACATTGCAAAATGCTATCAAGTCTGAGTCTAGTTTTTAGCTACAGATAGGCTGGAAAGAATGACTCAAAAGTCAGACAGATAATGAGTCTTGGTCAATTTCGAACTGTGTCACAGGAAATCTGTTGGATGTCTAAGGACAGTTAACATAAATAATCATTACCTTATTAGGGGGAATTGTGTGCAATGACAGGTTGATAAATAATTCATAGTCCTCAGGTAGAATGCTGCAAGGATCCTTGTTAATAAATGCACTTTTAAATGCTTCCCATATCTCTGAACAATTCTTCTCACTGTAATCATTGAAACAAACAAACAGGAGAATTGTTTTTTCAAAGCAGAGCAAGAAAGTAATTTGTTCTCAACTTCTTCAGATTCCCACATTAAAAAATCTGTAAGGTTAAGGTAGAAAACTGAAGTCAGAGTGGTGAAAAATTGTAGGTCAGGAAGAGCTTACAGATCTTGTCTTTTTCTGACTCATTACTGCAGCAGATTAGGAGGAAGTAGCATGGAAAATATTATCATTTACAGGGTGGAATTAGAAATGCATAGTAATTCAAGAAAAATCTTCATAGGTAGAGTATATTCAGCAAGCTTGCTATCCAGAACTTTAGTAATATCTTTCTTTGAAATTTTTCAGATTTAAAAGAGCAATTTCAACTAAATATGTAAAACTACTGGAATGCACTATTACTCTTAAAATGTCAGATTCGAGTGCAGGAGGAGTTACTAAAAAAGTTTCAGTGGTAGAATAATGGTTTTGACAAAGAGATGCCTTGTGTGTACAGGCCCTAGGACTATGCAGCTTTACCTTGCTGGAATGAGAACAGTGACCAGTGTGGAACTGTGTGGAACACACTGTCACTATGCAGTAGCTACAGGAATATTGTTAGCATTCAGCATTTAAAGTGCTCATTAAAGGAGGCCTGAAATAAAAAGCTGCACACTCCAGCAGTTCCCTTCTGCCAGCTCTGCCTTGGGGACAATAATTCCCCATGGAAGAACAGAACAGGCTATCCAGGGGTGAAAGTGTCCTATATCTCTGGATTTTCAGGATCTCATCTGTCACAGATCTGGGCCTGCCTGTAAGTAATTAAAAGGGAATTCCTGTTCTCACCACTTTGCCACAGTACCTTCCCCATGTAATGCTGGGACAAGGTTTATGCCAGGAACACTTTGCACAACAGAATAATTATTTTAAGTGCATTCAGCACTCCTAACATGAACAGCTGTAATTTCAAAACTCTAGCTTAAACAACAGTAGTCCAGATAAGTATATCAAACTTGGCCATTAGAGAGTTTTGCTCATTTAATGTCATCCATAGACATCAGGGGTTTGGCTGGTGCAGATCCTTTAAGGATCTGCTTTGTGACACTGGATGTCGCAGACACTTAAAAGGACCCCTTGTGATGAGTTATGCAGCTCCCATGAAGGAAACAGACCACAGATTCTCTTACAGTAATCTCTGGTCATGCTTCCAGTAGCTAGATAATAATTCCCTATATATCGTAAGTAGATATGGATTTGATCCAAAACTATTCAGTGATGCAATATGATCCTTGATCATTTGCTTCAAGGTTTAAATAGATTTACTTGACAAAAGGATTTGTGCCCTATTTCTGATTCCAAGCTGTTACACTTCAGCTTCTGACAATTGTATATATTTCTGTCTCATTTTGCTGAAGAGCTTTCTGCTGTAAGCACTCACTTATTCATGCCAGTACTTGTAAGTTATGATCAACAGAACTTTCAATATCTTTCTTGACAGTTGAATCTTGCAGTAAATTCCTGGTTAATTCACATACTGCTTTTTTTTTTTCTTCAAAATCAAAAGGATTATTCTGTTCTCATACTCAAAAGTTCTTAGCTGGCAAAAATACTTTTTGAAATGACAGGGTGGAGAAGGACTTCAATTCAGGACCATTTCTTCTAATCTCAGTGACATTAATGAGTCATGTTAGGCTTATTTCACACTAGTCAGCTAAAAAAATTGTTTTCAAAACTTCCATGATATACTACAAATAAACAAGTATGGAGAAAAAGCACTACAGGAACAATTGTGTTATACAGCATGCTCCTATCAGAAAATTTCAAATATGATCTTTGTTCAAATTCCTCACTTTTACACGACCATAGCACTTTGTAACATACATCCTATACCTGCCATTTTGCATGTTATAATGGAAGAGAAAGTTTTTCTTATGTTTCTATAAACATCTTCACGTTTTAACTATGTTGCAGTGTAAAGACATGCCTTGCTAGCTTCCTTTATGTTAGCAAAGTATTTTTATAAAATTATTGTATTTGCAAATAAATTCAGAAGCAAAACATATCCAGGTGGTCGTGCCTCTGTAAAAGCCAGCCTGGGGGCAGCTAAGAAACAGACAGTGAACAGAAAGGGCTATAAATAAATAGAGTATCTGCTTTGCACCTGTGCAATATGAAATTTCCATTTTGTTTGGATTACATTATTTGCTTATAGACCTTACAGAAAGAGAAAAACCCTCCAAGTCATATGAAATTAATTGTGTAGCTTTTCTTTTTATAATGCCATTTTGGGTCTTAATTCAAGAAAGTGGTCCTAATGTCCTGCCTGGCTTCATGCTAACCTGAACAAAAAGACTTTGAAGAATGTGTTCAGACTTCTCACTTTTAAAACTATGTTGTGAAAATTTCACAGGAATTAATTAGATCACAAAACTATCATAAACATGAGACATATAGAAATACTTTCAAGAATATTGTATTTAAAAGTCAAAATCACTTAACGATAAAGTCAGTATTTCTACAGTAACTATCCTTTATGTTGCTCATTTTAGCATATTTTTTATTATTAGTCATGTTCTGTTTCAGATATAAATGAAATGACATCTGTTAAGTCCAGCAGGAATTCTACCTGTGTAGAGTCTACTGCAAGACCAGACTATCTACACAACTGTTAACTAAATTTACACATTTTATATTATATATATTATATATATATTATATTGTAGGTGTGTAGAAATCTATAGTTAAAGTTTATTTGCACCTTTCACTGTGACATATTTATAAATCTGCCAAGCTTGAACTGTTCTGCTGAAATTCTAGTACCATATTATCTACATTAAGGGTGATTTCTTCTTTCATGAGGAACTTGAAACAAAATGCTTCTGATAAGTTAATAATGTTATTGGGCAGAAACATGCAGTTTTGCCTTTGTTAAAAGCCACAAACCTGTTTTCAGTCCTATATCATCCTCTTTTGCAAAGGAAACTGAAAAAGGGAAGTTGGGGGAAGGAAGTGATATTTGCAATATAATCTAGCCCTGTTTAAGACAGCAGCAATTCAATGTGTAACCCAGCCAGGACCCCTCTGCAATTACCTCTTCAAACTATTAGTACAAAATTTTAGTTACAGAATAAAGGGCTGAACTCCAGGAAACTGCCCTTCCTAATTTTTTTTTTCCCTTTTTACAGAAGCCCTTACAAGGCAAGGAAGACAGAAAAAGTGCTCAAAGTGTGTGATTTACCTCCAGTTCTGTATAACTGACACACCTATTTAAAGCTACTTGAGCAGTTGGTTACTACTTAATTTTTCAGGTGGATGAGCTAAACAGTCTCCTTCAGTACCACAGGATAGCTGTACAGTGAGGTGCTTCCCTTCTTACATGACCTGACATACAAGGCATGCAAGGCAAAGCTGATCTTCCCAGGAGCAATGTCAGATTTGATACTTCAGAAACATCATCCCTGCCATCTCTGTGTGGTGTTCTCCTTACAGAACAGTAAGGGGGGGGGAGTGAGAAATGTGAAATAAAAAATTGCAGGATGAAAAATCTTACCTTAATTACACTACTTTATTTAAAATATGACATCAGTCAAAATTCATGTTTTGTTTACAGACAGCTACAAGCATGTTTGCTGCAACAGGATCACTTTCATGGCTAGAAGCATATCAGGCTTATGATTAATAACAAAAAATAATTTTGTGCAGAACATAGAAAACTTACCCAGAAACAATCAAAACTTACCCAACAGCAGGATTCACAGTTCTAATATAATCATAGCATCTTCCAATGGCAATACTTTCCAGGTTTTGAGTTGTACCTTCACCTTTCCATTTCCTTCCCTGCACTTCTGAGAAGCTGTTCATAAACAGAACAGAGACAAGTAAAAGAGGCAAAAAAAGGCTCTTCATCATGATTCTTAGCAATCCAAGTTCTTAGGAAAAAAAAAAGTGAGGGAATAAAAAAAAGAGGAGAGTTAAATAATACAATCTAAAAGGAAGTTGGCACACTTAACATTTAAGATTGTCAATACTATCTCTCGCTCTATCTCTGTACACAAAAGTTTGGAGGAAAACTAAACCTTGCTGGGAACTGTAACTCAACTGTTTCCTGGAATGATTGCAGCATAGGGATACATCACTTCCTCATATCTGCACTGCTCCCTACTTCAGAAAAAAGGAGACTTTTAAGGCCATCTGGTGATAACTGAGGAGAATTGCAATATATTTCAGTAAAGGGAGGAAGAAAACCCTTACCACTTTGGTACTTTGGATGCCTTTGTTTCACTTAATTGTCATTGCTGTTCTACATCTTCCTAAACCATCACAAGTGCTTGCAAGCAACATATTTTAAACAGTTCCTTTTAATTTTAAAAGGACTATACTTTTTGCACATATTTCTCTAATGGCTGGAAAAAATGCTGAAATTCATATCAAGAACAAAAAAAAAAAAAGTCTAAAATATGCTGGTACAGCAATGATAGCATAAATACTCAAGTCCTCATGTGATCTTGTATCACACAAAAGGGTAAGATTAGTCAGCTTTTTTTTCCATCTTTCCCCTGGATACTGGCAGCGACATTTTGGTGTGATGATACCAGTATCAATTCTTCATGAACAAAACTGCCTTGCAGTCATGAATCAATCATAACAAGAAATAAAAGGATTAAGACTTATGTCCTGCGCACTGAACAGATCTCTTCGACTTTTGCTTACTGTTATTCTCCTCCAGGTTCTTTTCCCAAAGTACTTCGTTAGATCAAGAAATGACATCAATTAATCTAATCTTCAGAGTAAATATTCTGTGGTATGCAAATATAACACTATTTTTTTTCCCTTAAAAAACCAAAAAATTTTCAACCTTCGAGTAATTTGCCTAGGGACTCAGATTTCTGAGGCAGGTCTGGCAATTCATGCTGTATGCAGATCACTGCCCCTTGCTCTCTGCCCCTCTCTCTTAGAAGAAGTTATTGCCCATGAATCAGAGTCAGCCAAATTGGCTGCATATCTGCTCTGGAGATACTCTGGTTCACAATCTGAATATTAACCCAAACAACCATGAAACTCAGCATATGTTTATATTCTAAAGCCCGCGAAGATGAGGAACCTACCTATTCTTGTTGTTTCTATCAGAGAGGAGTGGTAACTTTCAGCAGAAGGAATGTGGGAGCGTTAATCCTCTATTATTACTCAGGCATGAATTGCTGGCAGAATAACCTCAATTCTATATGACTATATGGTTTAGGCCTGGAAATATGACATTGAAACTACTCATATTCCCGAGCTCCTCTGTAAGCCTTGAACTTCAAACATTGTTTCTTAAGGGTTCATGTCTTTAGTGCATGGTTCTACCTCCAGCAGTAACACCAGTCTCACTTGCTCCCTTATGTGCCATGACACAATCTCTGTGAAAGACATGCTCAAGCCCCAACCCAGAGCTGTGCTTACTAGCCAAGCAGTAAATAAAACCATGCACTGGCTAGCCAACTGCATAACACCTGTGCTTTGCCTTCCTTTTCTTGTGTAACTGCTGACGTGTGTAACTGTAACCCCCCCCCTCAGGTTGTACAAATTCAGCCTCCCAAGGTTCGTACATGTCTGCAGATATGATTAAGTTGGCCAGCATGTTCAAAAGTCCGTTGAGGTGGAAAGCATGCATGGAAAAGGAAACGCCCAAGACTTCAATTGCTTAAGCCTCATTTTATTAGATAAAGAGATAAAAAGATTATGATGCACATGTAAGCGAGGTAACCCTCATAACATGATCTCTCCTTCTCTGGTCACTATTTACTACTTTTACCAGCATTTTATTCTCAGGCATTAGTACACTGAGCAACACCAGACTAAAAACTCATGTGCCTTTGCTCAGAATATTTCAATGTGTTTACAATTAACTGCTTACATCTATAAACTAGCTAGGTCTAACACATTTATTATCTGCAACATAGATTTTGTAGAGTAATAGTTTTTAGTCAGATAGGCCTGATGCAACTATTTTATGTTTGACAATGTATTTTTGGGACATTCAGTACACATTGCAACACTGGTGGACAGTTTTAGTACATTGCCACATTGCTTGACAGTTCTCAATTCTGCCAAGTGTTCCTGCTTATTTCGAAATGTTGCACGGGCAGATGAGTATCACAAGCAGGTGTTCCCGGTCCATTTGCCTTGGATGTGAAACAAACACATTTAACTGCTTATCTGGCACAAATACTGCAAGAAGTTGGGCACAGACTTCCTGCTGCAGCCCAGTTTAGGACCCATCACACATCTTCCCTCACAAGCACCAGTTCATCCGCCACACCCACTTTATTCCTGATCTTGTCATCTCCTCAACGTATTTCAGTGAAGCATTTCCTTTACTTCCTGTACACACGTTTAGTTCAGTTTCTGTAACCACTGTGTTTCATAGCATAGCAGATTTCTTTCAGCTCCTAGCTTCTCACGGTTTCCTAGTTGGGCAACCAGGAGTTGCCTCTCTTGCTGCACAATACAAACAAAATCTTCCTTCAGAAATGCTGCCTCAATATCCACAAAACGGTACCACAAATTTTAGACTGCTATATGCACAAGTAGCTTTTCTAGGACCTTTCTTGATGGGGTCACACCTCAAGTACTGTGTCCAGTTCTGGGCCCCCAATTCAGGACGGACATTGAGGCGCTGGAGTGTGTCCAGAGAAGGGCAGTGAAGCTGGAGAAGGATCTGGAGCACGAGTCCTGTGAGGAGCAGCTGAGGGAGCTGGAGGTGTTTAGTCTGGAGAAGGCTCAAAGGGTGAACTCATCGCTCTCTGAAATGAGGTTGCAGCCAGGTGGGGGTTGACCTTTCCTCCCAGGTAAACAGCGATAGGAGAGGACATAGTCTCAGGCTGTGCTACGGGAGGTTTATGTTGGACACCAGGAGGAATTTATTCACAGAAACAGTGACTGGGTATTGGAACGGGCTGCCGGGAAGGTGGTGAAGTCACTGTCCCTGGAGGTGTTTAAGGAAAGGCTGGATGTGGCACTTGGCGCCCCGGTCTCGCTGACACGGCGGAGTTCGGCCACACGTTGGACTCGGTGACCTCAGGGCTCCTCCAGCCTGATCGACTCTGGGGTTCTGCACTTTGTTTCCTTACTTCCACAAGCCATTAACTCAAGCCGGGCAGTACGTCAGCGCACTCGCACGGTCCCGAAGGTGCGCCTCCACAGCAGAACCCGAACCCGAGCCACATTCCCACCCCGGCGCCAGGAATGCCGAGTGCCGGGATCGCCACCCACGCCAGGGCGGGCCCGGCGGGGCGGGGGGAGATGGGGGGCAGGGGCGGGGCCAGCGGCGCAGGCGCGGCACGGTCGGCCGCGGTCACGCGGCGCGCGCGCAGGCGCGGTGCGGATGCTCGCGCTGCCGCTCGCGCCGCCGCCGCGCGGCGCGGCCCGATGGGGAGAACATGGCTCCCTTCCCCGAGGAGGTGGACGTGTTCTCCGCCCCGCACTGGCGCATGAAGCAGCTCGTCGGGCTCTACTGCGACAAGGTACCGCGCCGCCGCCGCCCTCGCCGCGCCGCCCCGGGCGGCTGTCAGCGCCCCGGCCCCTCCGGCAGCTCCCGTGCGGTCCGGCCGCTCCCGGGGCTGCGGGCGCCGCTTCCCCGCCGTGCCGCGCCGGGACGGGCCGGGCCGCTCCCGGGCCGGGGCTGCTCCCGGGCCGCGTGTCCCACCCTGCAGCGCTGTCCTGGCGCTCCCTGGGCGGTGTTTATCGGCCAGCCCTGCCGGGCAGGACTCTGTGCGTGCTGCCCGCTCACCGTCTGTGCTTGCGATTTTATGCGCAGCGTTTGGCTGGCGAGTGGCTTAGAGGTACTCTGGGCGCGTTCTTTTATTTTAAATATATGCAGTTTTGCTCGCGGACAAAAAATAATGTTTGTTCTGGCGTCAGGGTAGTTAGTAACCAGCACTGGTGTGTCACCTGAAAGGCAAACTTCCCTGCAGCAGCTCTGAGTGCGGTGGGAGGGTTTTGGGCAAATACTTCACAGCCAGCACTCCTGCTGAAAGAACTAGTGCCTCCCGTCTCTGTACTGAAATAGCTGTTTGGAGAACCAGACTGGCTAACACACATTTAAAAGAAGAGTGAAGTTGTGTGAGAGACGCTATAATAGCTTACGGGTGCCAGCAGGATGGAGGAGTTCATGCTTCCTTCCCGATTTCCACGTGCCACCTTGTAGTGCTCTGGGGTTCACCAGGGCCTTTCGTCTGAGCCTGTTCCATTTGCTGATCGGGTAAAGAAAACATGAGTTGTTTTTTGGCTGGGTTAGCTTACTGAACGGGCCAAGCAGAGGGTCTAGGGGGAGGAGAAGATCTCGTGTAGTTTCACTTTGCCTTTTATCTGTGGGAGCATTTTCAGTTAACTTTAAGCCGTGGCGGCAGGAAAAGTTGTGATCTCTTGACAGAGTGGGTTTTACTTGAAGGGAAACAAGCACCTGGGGCTCTTTCTATCCCGTGAACCCAGCAGCCGGATCAGTATACAGGTTTTGTTTAGAACTCCAGATATTGTAGTCATTTGGGGTTTGTTCTTGTAGGTGTATTTTTTTACTTTTATTAAGCCTTCCACAGAGTTTTGACCAAATTTACCACGACTGTTGCCTGGGTGGGAATGATTGTTTTGAATAAAACTATCCAGTTTGTAATGATCGTCATATTTAATTTTCTACAGTTTTTGTATAGGAACTTGCCTGCTCCCTTTTTCCTTTGAAGAAGTAAATGAAAAGCACTTTTTTCTTAAAGCATTCATTCTTGCATCCTTTAACCCTGTTGCAGAACTTGAGGTCTGTGTCTCGCCTGTGACTTTAATATTAGTGCTAGCTTTGCGCTAGAAAATCGTCCAGAAAAACTTTCCTTCTTGTGTGATTGAGATGCTGTAATTAGGTAAGACTGTAGTTCTGCTTACATGGCAATTATAATCTCTAAAGCTGTGCTCTTTATAACTTTAGTTTGACTCTGAGGATTCTTTAATTTTGTGAATTCCATGTTACCTGCGTTCATTGTGTTCCCTGTATACTGTGTTGTTGCTGTCTGTAAGCGTCTGTATTTGCTAAATTCCACCAAATGTTAGCGAGGTTGAAATAGGTGCATCCATGCTTTGCTTTTCAGGGCAACAGTTTTGATGTTACTGATGGATGAAGTGTGTAGGCCCTTAAATAATCCTTTGGGATTGAGAGATGCGGTTTATTTTATTCTTCCAGGAGTTGATGTGAGACAGAACAGTAAATTGGACATTTAAAATGTTTGGTCATTAGAAAAGTTATCCTATTTTGTTAGCTGTTGCTGTCAGATACCTCACTGTACCTTTGCTGCATTCTTAAATGGTGTTTTTTACCTGTGTTGTACACAGTGCCCTGGACTTGGATAGTAAGAGTAACTAAAATTCTGTTTATTAAGGAAATCCACAACGTTATCAAATTTATCTCCTATTCCGATGATAAGAAGATTCTTTAAGTGCTCAGAGGATGTCCCCCCTGTAGGCAGTGGAGTGCTACAGCAGACAGCCTTTATAGCTAAAAAGCTTGTCCTAATGCCTGACGTCATCTTTGCTACAAATAGAGCAGGTTCTGTTTTCCTATCTCTGGTGAACCGTTCTTCGTTTTCAGAAAGATCTTGTGCCGATTTGCAGTTGTAGCCTGTCCTCCATCTTAGTTATGTGTTCTCTGTCCTGAGCAAACTGATTCATTCTACTTCATCACATGGGTCACGCTTTCTGTACCCCAGCGTACTTGTTGCTTTTGTCAGGACTAAGCTGCCATTCTCCAACAGTTCAAGCTGTCTGACTGCTGCTGTTACAACTGCCTGCCTCTCTTGGGCCCATCAGCACTTGAAGTGACTCACAAAGGCTCTAAACTGGCAGAAAACATTTTTTTTCTGAAGCAGGGTAGTTTTTGTGTTTATGTAGTGCTACCAGCAAGCACTGGTCAGAACTACTGAAGCCAGTGTGAGGCAGAGGGAGTACTGTGACAGCCAGCAACTAGAGTGACTTAAGCTACTGTGAAACCTCAGCTTAATTATGTCTCTGTTTTTCTAAAATCTGTTGTGCAAAACAGGATAATGCTGTTTTTGAGTAGAGCAGATTTGTTATTC